CTTCGTAGCCCTTGCCTTACTTATTCAGCACTTGCACAAGCCCAAGATGAGCTCAGCAATGCAATGACAATCACTGTTTGAGCAGGGCTCAGTACACAACTCAACCCACAGCTGCCACTTCCCAGAGTGGGTGCAAGGGACAGCACGTGCAGCAGGAGCAGCCTTTTGGCTGCAGCACAACCCCAAATCAGAGCAAGCCATCCATGACTACACTTCTCACTATTACCCATCTGTTGTGTTCCTTGAATTATGTGTTCCTTCAACCTTTGCTGGCTTTTCTCCAAACCTCAACATTTGCAAGACTGCAGTAAAATTGTGTAAGTTGTGAACTTTATTCACTGTACACATACTGTATTAGCGCCTTCTCTTAGATCTTGCTAGAAGCATTGCATGGAGCCAGTGAGTGACATGACTGCCTGCCTTGGTGCTATACTTTTTCCTAGGGAGGCAGCTACTAATTACACCCAGTCCAGCACACTGGCAGCCTGGTCAGCCACAACCCTCAGCCAGCTGCTTCCCTTGCATCAATCCAAGCGAATACATGGCAGGGCACTTAGCTGACTTGACAGAAACCTAACCTAACCCAAGGAAAAGCTTTCCATATGATCCCTGAAACCACAGATAATTAGGAGCATCCTCTTACACACTGTCCCTTTCAGCTGGGAAGGAGCATACCTGCTGAGAACCTGTCCCTTGTTGTAGTGAGAATGCTTTCTACTCAGTTTTCCTCTCCTCCATTTGTGGCTGTGTTTGCTCCTTCCACAACTGAAAATAGCCAGGCTGCCCTGAAACACTGAGCAGAGATTTCTCCCAGAGTTACTGGCTATCCCCAGGGGAAATCACATGGATTAGTTAGTGTCTGTGAACTGCTTAGTAAAAGAGGAGGAAAAAAAAATTTAAAAAATATATGTGTTAGGAATTGCTTCTTTGCCCAAGGCATCATTGTAGATTTCTGGTACTCCACCCAACATTGTGAACTACAGGAAACTACATCTCCCTATTACTTTTTGGGTAGTTTACTAAATTTGCCAGCTCCTTTCCCAAAACTTTTCATTCAACCAAAGTGTGAGAGGCCAATAGGTCTGAATAGGAGAGGAGGACTCAGCCACCTCATGTCTCTCCTGCACAGTCCTATCACCCATGTTCTTTGCTGGGCAGTGAGAAAAGAGCAGGGTCCCTTTTTCCCCTCTACCACCCTGCTTTTGGACAGACTCACAGAGAAGCACTTCTTACCTTTGGCTCAGGCCTGAAAGTTCAGGGCATGTTTTATCCCTGTCACAGCACTTCCCTCCTGAATCTCTCCAGCTCTTCCACAGTAACCTCATGCCCTCAGATTACCAGACTCCTGTATTGAAAATGTGTCCCTGGTGGTATGGCAGACTCCCAAGATCATGCCTGGTCATCATCCTTTGCTTTCCTTTGCTGCCTTGGATAATGCTGGGAACTATCTTTTATTGGCAAAGGTGGACAACAGAATGGGATCTCTGATTTGAAGACTAAATCAGGGTCTGGTGTCACAGCAGTCAGGAGGAAAGAGGTAGATGTCATTGGGATGTAGATGGATAGGGAAGCTGAGAGCCAAAGAACAGGCTGCCAGCTTGGAGCTCAGAAATTCAGCACTAAAGCACATGAGATGCAAAAGAAACAGATGCAGGAAATAGCAAGAACAGTGCAGTGACAGCACTCATTCAGAGGGAACAGTCAGCAGCAGGAGGCCTTTCCTGTCCTGACAAAGGCAACAAAAAACTGATTTTTTCTCAGACCAGCAGCATGCTCTCCCTGCTGCTTTTATGCAAAACTGATGGACAGGATCAGCAGCCTTGCCAGGATCTGGAGTAACCAGCATGGGTTTGAAGGCCTGCAAAAGACCCTCCTGAGGTAGAGAAGCTGAAGCAACCTTGCTGTAGCAAGCATTCTGAGGGCACAATGCAGTGAACAGAAACTGTGCTTCCTCCATGGAAGAGAGGAGCTGGCACTGTATGTCCCCAGATCTCCTGGCACAGACCAGCAGAGACAAGTGTGACACTGACCTACTGGCCTCTGAGGCTGCTTGGCTCCTCCTGAGCATGTGCCATTTCTCTGTGTCATGATTTAACCCTGCATCCAAGCATCACACATCTCACGCCACCCACCCCACACCATTCACTGGGATGGTGAAGAGAATTGGAAAAAGATAAAATTGGTGGGTGGAGATAAGAACAGTTTAATAAATGACATAAAGTAAAATATAATAATAACAGGAAAAAAGGAATTAAACCCAAGAAAAACAAGTGATGCACAATACAATTGCTCATCGCCTGCTGACTGATGCCCATCCCATTCCCAAACACAAGAAAGAAACAAGCAGAGAAGGGGAGCAGCACCACATAACTGATGATGACAGGGCAGGAGCAAGCAACTCAGGTTGAGGCAGCTCCTGCCAACATGAACACAAACACTCCCAATGCACTCTCATCATGTGAACTTCCTCCTCTACACAAGAGGCAGCTTACACAACCTGGCACCAGAGACTCCCTCTCGTGCCCTTGTGTAGCTTCACCAGTCAGGGCCCTGAATGCACTAACAGACCTTCACTGTCCAGAGCAGCCTCCCCTGCAGCTTTGCCCAAAGCCCCTGCCCATGGGGTTTGGGGAGGGTGTGTTTGCATTTAAGCTCAGCCCAGAGTTCCCAGGCCCTGTCTGAGCTACGTTAGAGCAGTAGTAGTCTCTGGCTGTGCTTTGTTGATCTTAACCTGTAGGCTGGTTCATCAGCCTGATCTCCGGCTTGCCTTGCCTTATGACCACAGACACACCTGGCAATCACTGGGCCTGATCCTGACCCAGTTTGACTGCAAGCTACCTCATCACCATGAGCTTGCCCAGCTATCTCAATTCTTGGTGAAATCCAGGCTATGCCAGGCCTGCCCAGCTCTCTGTGGTCAGGTACTGTGGGAATGGGCTATGCCCCATGAGGGCCCTGGCTGCTGGCCTCAGGAACAGCCCCTCACAGTTCTCCCTGTCCTGGTGTGCAGCCAGCCCTTACATCAGCTCTCCTGGTATGACTGCCAGGACAGCTGCACCATGAATGGCATCGGGGAACTCAACTTGTTTAAAAATAGCTGTGAGGAAAATGCTATCAGTTACTTTTACCTGCATTGCTTCCCCAGCACATGTGTGTGTAATCCCAGAAATGGCATATAGGCACCATTAAGGTAGTAGTATAAAAGCAACAGAAACCAGGGAGTTCTGAAGACTGCTCCCAAGAATGAGCTCTGTCAGGCCAGATCAGGCTTCACTATCCAGCGCAGAAACTCATCTCAGAGCAGCTTCAATCAGATGTGTCAGCCAGAAGCCTCTCATCTTACTGCATGTGCCTACCATATCAGGTCTCACTGTGACCATACAGTTGGAGCTTTGCTGATTCCCAGAACACAAGACCCTGCTAAACCTGCAAGGGTTTTTCTGCAGGGCTTTTTTTTCCCCTTAAAAACTCTGTTGCTCCTCATTGCATCTCTATGTCCCAATACTTTATGTATCTTCCTAAGACCATGGGTCCTAGGTTCCCATTGCAAGGAATTCTATTGTCTACCTTAACATCTGTGGAAATGAGTGAAGAAAGCCTTTAAGTTTAAACTAAAAGTTGTCTTGTCCAGATATTAGTACATTTAAGAGTTTCTTTTAGTGACAAGATGGTGCTGCAGAGCAACCTCTTTTCAGAGGTAAAGAAATCCCAATGCACTCCATCTCTGTAGTACCATGCTACTGATTAACTTTTGTTGTTGTTCTCGTCCTCCTGAACCTCTCATTGCTCTGCAGTCACTTTTTTTTTTTTTTTTTGCTAAAACATGAAGTCGACTATATGCCATTGACTTCTAGCTCACAGCACAACCATATTTTTTCTATTTTTCTTACATTATAACTGAATGACTTTCTAGCCAATACCCTACTGTTTCTAGGCAGGTAACATAGCAGTATTAAGGGCCCTGACATAATTTTTGCTCTGAAGTAACAACTTCCCTACCTTGATTACTGGCTCATGATTCCTTGATTACTGCATAGCCAAAGTAAGAGCTTCTTGAGATGTCGCCCCTGATTAAATCAGGGCTATGAAGATGGAAAAGAGTCTGAAGGGGAAGCCATACCAGGTGTGGATGAAGTCACTTGATCTTTCAGCCTGGGGGAAACTGAAGGGACCTCATCTCTCATCATGGTCTTCAATATCCTCAGGAGGGGAAGCATAGGGGCAGGTAGTGATCTCTTCTCTTTAATGACCACTATCAGGCCTAGAGTTATCAGTGGAGATTTAGGTTTGATATTAGAAAAGAGTTCATCACCCAGAGGGTGTTTGGACACTGGAAACAGGCTGCCCGGGGAAGTGGTCACAGCACAAGCTTGGCAGAGCTCAAGACGTGTTATGACAATGTTCTCAGGCACATGGCATGACTCTTAGGGATATCCTGTGCAGGGCCAGGAGTTGGACTCGGTGATCTATGTGGGTGCCTCCCAACTCAGGACATTCTGTGGTTCTGTAAATCATCTCCAAATCCCCGTTCGTTTGTGCCCGGTGCCCTGAGGCTGGCTGCTGGAGCAGGTGATGCTGTAAACGCTTCTCTGAGATGACCCACGGCAGGCACGGCCCCATTGCTATTCTAAAGCTCCCTTCCCTTGGTCGGGGCCCGCAGCGGCCCCCAAAGCACAGTCCTGGGGCACAGCCAGCAGGGCTCCCCGGCAGCGCTGGGACTGCCGAAAGCGCTCCGAGCTCATGGGGCTCTCAGGGCGTACAAAGCCCGATGTGCGCAGAGCGACACCATGACCCCCACGAGGCGTGCAGCCGGCGCAGAGGCTGGGGTGATCTGGCGCTAGCGCTGCCCCACGTCCCGGGAGCGGAGGGAAGGAGGGACCGCGCTCTCTTCTCGCCCTTCACACCCACGGACGCGGCGGGGGGGCCGGCCCAGCACGGCTCTACCGCGGCCGCGGCGCCGATTGGACCCGGCCGGCTGCCGTACCCGCGGGGGTGTCTGGGAAGGAGAGATCATGGCGGCGGAGCCGAGCAAGACGGAGATCCAGACCCTCTTCAAGCGCCTTCGGGCAGCGCCGGCTAACAAGGTAGCGGGGAGTGGCCGGGGTCCGCCGGATTGTCTGTGCCGGGCTATTGCTCTGCGGCCGCGGACTGCGCTCCGACTGGGCCCCGGTGGGCTCCGGGCCGCGCTGCGGCGGCTGTTAGGGCGGCCGGGCAGTGGCCCTTGGGGAGCGCCTGGGCAGAGCGCCCGGGGCCGCCGAGCTGTGCAGGGGGTGGCGGAGCGGCAGAGTAGTCGCTTCAACCTGGCTGTCCCTCTGCCTTCGCTTTAGTCGTGCTTCGACTGCGGCGCCAAGAACCCGAGCTGGGCCAGTATCACCTACGGGGTCTTCCTGTGCATCGACTGCTCCGGCGTCCACAGGTCCCTGGGCGTACACCTCAGCTTCATCAGGTGCGTGGGGAGCGGTACCGCCGGCACGCCTGGAGCAGCCGCCCCGCCTCGGGTGGGGGTACGGAGGGATTGGGAGGGAAGCATTATCGCGGAGCCATCACCTCGGGGGTTACGAGGCTTGCTCGCGGGAGGTTCTGGGTCACTCAGCACTTCCAAAATGGAGTTTCCAAAGCACCTCAAGTGGAACCTCGATATGTTGCTTTCGCTAACCTTGTAGAAACGCTATTTGGACTTGGCATTTTAGGAAGAGAGACGAGAGCGGTGCATGAATCTCGCCAGTAAGGCAGCAGTGTGGTGTACATAATTTTTCGTAATGCTGAGTAAGGCAAAAGGAGGAATATTGTTTAATCTTTTTGGTATCAGCCTAATGGGGAAGATGGTGTTGGCTTTTCAGCCTACTTCTTGTTTTCAGTACTTGTAAAAATTAGCATTTTAAGTTAAGAGAACTGTGACCTTTACTTGTTAGGAGAGAAGTTGAGTAACTGGTATGAGACACTCTGTGTCCCTTAGCTTTACTTGGATGTAGTCTCAGTTGCTTTGTCACGTGTTTTGGCCTAACCTGAGGGACGGGCTGAATATGAGTCTCTCGTGTTGTGGTGAGATCACATGTAGAATGAAAGTTCTTGGCTGTGCTTTCCTAGCTCAAGCTCTGCCCTCTAAACAAGCAGTACAAGGGAGAGATCCTCAAAATTTGGATAAAAGCTGGTCTTTTTTCTCACTTTAAAAGTTGAAATTAATTTTTTAGAGGAGCAAAGAAATTCCCGAGATGTTCTTTCCACCTTTGCCTCCTGCACTTTGGAATAGTGGTGAGATCTCACCATTTTAGGCCAGAGCTCAGTTTTGCATTTGGTTTGCCTGGTCTTTATTAATAGAAATAATTGGTTCTCACACAGGTCCACAGAGTTGGATTCTAACTGGAACTGGTTCCAGCTGAGGTGTATGCAAGTGGGCAGTAATGCCAACGCGGTGAGGAGCCTCTGTAGGCATTTTGCTTGCTTTCCCTCTTGCTAATCCACATCCTCTGTTTCTTGGGTTTTTTTTCCTTTGTATGGCTTTCTTGGTACCAGTCTGACCTGAAATGTGTAATGGAGGGGGGAATTTGTCAAGTGTGCTTGGACATCACACTGTGACCTTTGCATGCGTTGTTTTCAGATCTCTCATTTTTTTGCACCTCATTTAAATGAGAGGCATAGCCTTCTTAAATGATAGAAGTTAACAACACTGATCAGTTTGAAAGCTCATGCTTAGCTTTGTGACTCAGAATCATCTCTCTGTAGAGAAGGAGGATGATTTTCATATGCCCCTGGAGTGAGATTTCTTGTAGAAAGCTGATCAATGAATGGTTAGTTTATGCTGTGTTCTCAGATTTTCATCCTCTGTCTCTGGGAAGTTTTCTTTTTCTGTTGAATTTGTCTAGTGCTTGCTTGAGTATGATCTAGCAGTCAGGAGACTGAATATTCCTCTCTTTTCAGACTGCTTTCTTCCGCCAGCACGGCTGTACCACTACAGATGCCAATGCTAAATACAACAGTCGAGCTGCCCAGATGTACAGGGAGAAGATCCGGCAGCTGGCAAGTGCTGCCATGGCCAAGTACGGCACTGAGGTAGGTCTGAGAGCTCTGGAGTGCTAGATGGGTAGTGCTGGATGCTGAGTCTTGGAGGATACCTTCTTTTTACCCTCTCCTCTCTTTAGCTGCTCATAGATGGACTGAGTGGAGCCCCTGGGCACTCCCCTGAGAAGAGTGATGCTGATTTCTTCATGGAGCACACACAGGTGAGAAGAGCTGGCTAAACCAGGCAGCCTTAATAGCTCTCCAATAGCCAGCTGTTCAACCAGGAGCGGTCCCACTTAGCTTGGAAAACTTTAAATTGTATAATTAATCAGTAGTAATGTGGAGGAAGTCAGATTCAGTCATCTGCCTGGGACATAGTCACAGATCTGAACAGTCCCTGTAATATCCATCCATGTCCTTTGTTTTTGAGACCATCTTTAGTTTCAAGAACTCAAAGCTACAACCTATGCCCTAGAAGATGCTTTGTGTGCTGTGTTAATGCTTAGTTTCTTTGTACAGTTAAAGCAAGGCTATAGCTTTGTACTAGCAAAGCTATTACTTTGAACTTCTGGTTTAAAAGAAACTTTTCAGTGCACAAACCCTGGTAAACTGGATCTGGGCAACTGCACCATGCCAGGCAGACTTTCTCAGGTAATGCCGGAATTGGCTGTATGGCAAATAGAGACAGTAGAAGTGGAGCTGAATTTTTTCCAGGAAAACTCATTCACACATTCTCCCAGATTTAAACTTGTTTCCTTTCACCTGGGAAGTCCTCACATTAGCCAGCTTGTCAAATGATTCTGTCATTCCTCCTGGCCTTACATTCAGCTTAGCTTCCTTTTTGTTGTTTTCATTTTTGTCCCTTCTAAGGGAATGTGGACTTGTCCATATGTTATGTTCAAGGAAGGCATAGTCTGAAGTTTGGAATAAGTTTCCTTTGGCCTAAAATTGAGTACAGGTCACTAAATCTGTAGTAAATTCAGGATTGTTTGGTTCATTCATCTTCTGGAAGTAACTAGAATGAGTATCTCTTTGCAGTCTTCCAGTACCTGGGATGTAGCAGATGCTAGCCAGAATCCTGCACAGTCTTCTCCAGAGATGGAAACAGCAGCAAAGTCACCAGAAGGCAGTGAAGTTTCAAGTGAGTTCTTTACTGAATAATTTTTCCAAGAACCTGTCTTCATTTCCAGGAGAATACAGTTCTGTACCACTGTTGGAAGGGCTGAACTTATCCTTTGGTTCAGGGCTGAAGGAGTGGAAGTTCTACACACTCTTATGATATTTAGTTAAATTAGTGGAGACTTCTAAAAACACTACTCCATTTGGGCTCAGTTCCCTGCTTTCAGATGTTATTTGTCTAAACATTCTTCTCTACCTCTTGAATTTGTTGGGTCTGAAAATGACATAGGACTGAAAAATTTCTAGGGTGAAGGACAAGGAAACCAAGAACCTGGGGGCATAGCTGTAATTTGTAACAGCTTTGTATATTTCCCTGCAGAGTGTTTGCTTTCTTAAGCAAACTGTGTTAAGAACCCTGCAGAAGGAATAATTTGCTCTGTGGAGACATAAAGTTGTTTTGCTTGGGAAATTGCATATTTCAAGCTGTAACTGGATTTATATGTGGGGGCAGAGGAGCTAGGAGAGATGTATTGCAGCTGTGAACATACTGGAAAGAAAAGGGTTGAGAATCAATCTGCTGAATGTTCTCTTCTGGTTTTGTGCCCACAGATCCCAGCCAAGGTCCATCTATTGACTTGTTGAGCACATCTCCTAAGGCTCCTCTAGGTAAGACTCTTCACTCTCAGATCAGTCTTGCTCTTATACCCACTGCTCAGCAGTAAGCTCAGTGAAGTTGGAAACAATGAGCCAGTTTCCAGAATGCCTAAACAAGCTTATCTCCCTGTTGAGCCAGTACTTAGGATGTTCCTGAAGCCCAAAACCAAGTCACAGTTTTCTGGAGGTTTCTTCCTCGTTTGGATAATTGAGTTCACAGCTGTTGCTTTCCCAAAAGTATGTTTTCCTGGTTTTGAGCTTTGGACAAAACTTGCCACTTGCATATCTAGGACTTGGGTGATCAGGGCCACATGGCTGTTTTTTTTTATTTGTTTCCCCACAGAACCTTTGGAGGCAAATGAATTTTTAGTTTTCAGAATAATAGGGATTTGTATCTAATTCTCCCCTGCCATTACTATCCTGGCTGCACACAGAAGATCTAGCTGGAGCTTCTTCCCTTATTGAGAGCATGCTCCTAGCCCACAGTGGGTTCATTCTGGGTGGAAAGCCTGTGTCCTCAAGTGTCTGTTCATTCCCCATGTTTTACGTCTCTTCCTCAGACATGTCCGTGTATCTGTCAACACAAGGGGCCGCTCCTGCTGGAGGTAACTGGCTAACAGCTGGCCTGCGCTGGCTGCTTGTGACAACTCTGCTTGCCCCTCCTGAGATTCTGCCTTCAATTCTAACTTTAGCTTCCTGTACTTAGAGAGAGAGAACAAGACAAAGCTTATATTGTTGTACTGAGATCTAAACCAGATATGTCGTATCTGTAAAGAGACTGTATTAACATTTCTGTTAAATGTTTCCTGAAATATAAAAATCTCCAAACGCAAACCCAAACAACCTCGATTCAAGTGTTAGGAACAGCAAGTGGAAAACAGTTTCAGATAGTGTGAATGTTTTGAATCCCCTTTTTTAAAAAGACTTATCATAAGACTAGAAAAGATAAGAGAAAATGTGTCAAGAATAATTTATGGGCTAACAAAAGTCATGTGGCTGTAGAAAGTCAGGAGACGCACACACACTCACACAAAATAAAAGCCCAAAAAGGGCAGTAAAAGATTTTGGACTTACCTATAGGAAGCTGGAAAATGCTTTGGGCAGTCCCTCTCTGCTTGTTCTTAGACTTCCCCAGACATCTGCTGCTTGGCTGGCCCTTGTCTGGTTTTACAAGTGTGGCATGCCCTCAAGAGTGACAAGTGCAAGGTGTTGGGGAACCTGTTGCTTTTGCAGCTTGCTGCACTTTAGGTCCATGTTTTTGTATGTTCATGTAAACACAACTTGAGAGTTCTTGCTGCTTTGTCCCTAAGGCATTGGTGAGACTCTGACCTTCACATGCCTCTGAAGCTGCATTTTATTGAATTTGTGTATGAGATAAACCTAGTCTTTCTCGAACTACCCTGGTACCTGCTGCATAACACTCAGAGGAGATAGTCACAGTTCTTAATTCAATTATAAGTTGCTCCAGAAATGGACATGCTTCTTTAGGCTACCAGCCTGCAACTGGTGGAGCTTCTACGTGCAACTTTCTTGCCTGGGTGAAATCACCCAGGCTTTTGATGTGAAGATGCATGGTGTGCCCTGGACGCTACTGCAGCTGGACTGTGGTGGATGTTCATGTGGGTTGCTGTCTAATTTTGGTCTCTTAAATTAATTCCCATCTGCTTATTTGCTACCTCCCTCCTTTTGCAGAACTTAAATCCTCCCTCATTGGAAAGAAGAAGCCGGGAGCTGCCAAGAAAGGGGTATGTCTGAGCTCTTTTATGGAGGGGACGTAAAGCATGTCTTGCATTTCTGCTGTCCTTTCCCTGATTCTTGCTTTCTGCTTAACAAAGCCGTAGAGATCTGCTTTGGGGAAAGGAGACCTTAAGCAGCCTGTATATTACTGTAAAAAAAATTATCATTACTGGTTGTGGTCTGAAGCATATGAGGTTATCTCTAAGTTCTGGCCACTGATGGATTAACTCTTGGATGACAGGGAGACTGAAGGCCTCACTGGTGCAGCAAGAAGTAGGATTCAGGTTTTCTTCTACAATGAACAATCTAGGATGAAGAATTCACAGGATTTTGTTCTTGTTTTTAAGCTGGGTGCAAAAAAAGGTCTTGGAGCCCAGAAAGTCAGCAGCCAGAGCTTCAGTGAGATTGAGCGGCAAGCCCAGGTGGCAGAACAGCTGAGGGAGCAGCAGGCAGTGGAGTCCAGGAAACAAGCCGAGGAGTCGATGTAAGTGCCCTGTTTGGGATGGGTACCTTGCATACCTAAGGCAGAAGTAGTGTGAGGTTAATGCTGTTCACCCCAGGACCACCAAATGTGACTACAGAACATACTGCATGAGAGGAAGAGCAGTAGCTGTATGCCAGTATGGCCCTTGCAGCAGGGCACAGGTTATACTGCTGTATTTTATTCAAATTAGCATTCCTGGAAGAGCGTAGGGAGCAGATACTTCTGGATTGTGTGTTTCCGTTCACCTTTGGACGGGACTGAAAATGCCAAAGGCTGAACTGGATGGATCATTCTGGATGCAAGGGTGGGGAGAAGACAGACACCGTGATGCTTACAGTAAGGAAATCATGGTTAGCCAAAGAAGACTTGAATCCCAGCGGAGGAGATGGTAAAACATGCAATAGCTTTTGTTCAAGGATTTTTGGCTGAGCTGCTGTGAAAAGTTGCTGTTTTGAAAAGTGGTTGGGGTTATTTAACCATTGTTCTTCTACAACACGGGCAGCAAGGGAGGGTAATGAGCTGGCACCCACCATGGCTCTTTCCCTTAGAGTCACCTCAATGCGACTGGCTTATCAGGAACTGCAGATTGATCGGAAGAAGGAAGAGAAGAAACTCCAGAACCTCGAAGGGAAGAAACGTGAACAAGCAGAGAGGCTGGGCATGGGATTGGTATCCAGAAGGTACTTGACTGTAGATGGCATAGTATAGACAGGTGTCTTGGAAGTACCCTGCTCTGGAAAAGTTTCTTGAAGTCAGTAGTTTGCTCTTGTAATAGATAAGGAGATGAGTTAAAGTGCTCATATGCTGTTTTCTGAAAAGGCTTTGGGCCCCAGAAGGAATAGAGACTCAGTTCAAAGGTTCTAGTTCTCATTTGAGCTTTTCCACAGATATGTGTGGCCTGTCAGTGTCTAGCACTAGAGCCCTGCTGCTTGACAGGTGCCCCCCTGCAGGATCCTTCCTTGAAGAAGGTAGCTCAAGACTTCTGAAGGAGCATAGATTAGTGGTGAATGGGGCTGACATCCCCCAATTCTCTTTCAAAACTTATATTACCTGTGAAGGCCAGATTCAGTTTTGAGGCAGACTGGTTGTAGGGACTAGATGCTGTCAGACCCATCAGCCCTGACTCTGCCTGTTTGTTGTGCTAGTTCTGTTTCACACTCGGTGATGTCTGAGATGCAAGTAATTGAACAAGAGACGCCGCTGGTAGCAAAATCTTCCCGCTCCCAATTGGACTTGTTTGAAGATGGTGGTAGCTTCACATCCGGACCCCCCAAGTAAGACTTAGATTTAGTGTAGTCTTTGCTTATTCCTGAATTTTATGTCTGGCATAAATTACCTATTTTTGGTACCTAGGTACAAATACAGTCCCTTCTCATTCGAAGATGCATTTGGCTCACGATGGGAAACGGACTCTTCATGGGGTATGGACAAAGAGGAGGAACCAGAGGTGACCGTTTCCAGCATTCGGCCAGTCTCAGAGAGGTAAAGTGCTTGTCACTGCTAATGTACCTTGTGCCCTTGTGTAGGGGACAGAGGATAAGTGTGGGAGCTGTGGCATAGATGCTGCTGTAGCAGGAGCCTCGTGCTGTAGAAAATGACTTGCAGAGGCACAGACAAGCCCAAGAAAAAAGGCCTCGAGTGAAAGGGCCTCGGACACTTCTTTGCCTGTCATGTCTGTAAGTTTACCCAGCTTTGTGGTCGTTGAGTGCTCAGACACCCCCCTGAAATGGGGAGAGGAGAGCCCCAATGCAACTAATACTTAAGGATGACTTGCTTTCCTTTGGTTAGATGAGGTCTGAGACAGAAGTCTTGATTCTTTACTGTGTTGGTGAGCTTAATCTGCGATGTCTCCTTTTGTTTCCTCAGACCCACCAGTAGGCGGGAGATTGAGAACAGGCCATCCATGGTGGAATCCAATGAAGCTCGGCAGAAGTTTGCTGGGGCTAAAGCTATCTCTTCAGATATGTTTTTCGGGCGGGAGGCAGATGCTGAGGTAGATGCATTCCACAGTGCTTACACTGGTACAGCTCTGGCTTAACCTCCTCCTGTTTGCACAGGTCCTACTTTGTTCCCTTCCTATACAACATTTTTGTTTTGTTTTCTTCTGCAGTATGAAGCCAGATCCCGACTGCAGCAGCTCTCAGGCAGCAGTGCCATCAGCTCCGCAGACCTGTTTGGAGAGGCTGACAATGTGCACTCAGGTTTGTTAGCACTCAGTGGGTTGAGGAAGGGGGCAGCTTTGGAAGACCTAAACTGGAGGGGATCAGGGTGCTTTCTGGAGCTGAGGGACTCTGGGCTAAGTCCTCTTGATTCTTGTAGGTGGTGTGTCTATTGGAAATGTCCTGCCTGCAGCTGACATTGCACAATTCAAGCAAGGAGTGAAATCAGTTGCTGGCAAGATGGCTGTCCTGGCCAATGGGGTGATGAACTCCCTTCAGGTGAGTTTACATTATGGCAACTTGAGAAAGGCTGTTGTCATGTTCAGGGGCTTTCACTGTAACCTGCTTCCATTGGAATTATCACTATCTTCTCAAATTATATGGGAAGTCCCAGGAAGACACCCGTCTTTTGTAGCTGTTGACTGCTGTACAATAGCTGAGCAATTGCAGGGGCCAGTGAACTTGGCAAGCCTTACCCTCCTGCTGCACAGGACACCTTGCCATGTCAGATACACCTTCTCACACAAATTCCAGGCAGAATTCTAGAAGTCAAGGTCATTTTACCTTCTGCGTTTGTACGGTGTCCTGTCTAAATAACCTCACACTGCATTAAAATACCAAACCCCCCAGTTTCTTGTTATCTATCTCTGGATTTTGCACAAAGGTGTTGTAGCAAGGTGTCTCTGTCTGTTTCCTCCCTAGGATCGTTACGGTTCATATTGATGACCCAGGGACTGCAAGGGGAAGCCAGCAAGAGGCACTGATGCCACCTTTGCCTGGAGTAAACTCCACAGGATTGTCTTATTTGTCTGGGTTGGGTGGGGAGGGGAGAAGGTAAGCGGAGGGGGTCAGGACATGGCTGTGCCCAGGATGCTTTCTAATATCTCTGGATTCCACTCTATTAAAATTCAATGTGCCCTCATACCCACTGCTATCTACTAGCCAGTGGAGACAGGCCTTCTTACAGGGTTAACGTCATTGCTGTAAAAGATATGACACGAACTCCTGGGCTGCCCTCATCAGTGCTCCTGTCCTTCTTTGGCCCATACCTTAGCTCACCAAGTGACAGAGAAAAGGGGAATGCTATTTTTCTGAACATCATATGACATGACTGTTTTTTGTTCTGATCACTGCTCCCAATCCATGGTGCTGTGGAGTCCACTGTATTTGCAGGGTTTGCCTTTTGCTGTGATCTAGTCCTTTTTACTGTCTTCTAAACCAACATATATGAATGTGGGGAAAAAAAATCAAATCAAAGAATATTTTTTTAGCTTCTAACTACATCATCAGCAAAAAAGGCCCAGGTAAAGAAGTAAAGAAATTCACTGGATCCCTGGTTTATTTTGTTGCCCAGCTTCGGATCAGATCAAAGTACTGAGCCTCTGACTTAACCATGAGATGCAGCAGTGAGGACATTTCATCCTGTTCAGTTTAGTCTCTGGTTTTAACAAGAGTGGTTTTCTCTTCCTTGAACTATGGTGTTGAGGACTAGATAGGAAGAAGGGTGGGAAAGGGCTTGTTACACACTGTTAGCAAAAGAGAGGCTGGGGCTGTTTGTTCTGGAGCCCTCTGTCTGCGACTAGGAAGAGGCTGGCATGGGTTTCACCTCTCCTGTCCAGTTGAGGGGCTGCAGCAGCTACTCAGCTACTCTGTGCTGATGTTTCATTTTGGTGGGGCATGAGGGGGGTAAGGGTTGGGTCTTCCTGACCCAGTTGTGTCAATGTCACAATACCCACAGCAGGCTGGGGCTGCAGGGAGCAGCGGTGTGGCTGCCCTATGGCTGCAGGGTGTGGTGGCAGTCCAGGCACTCAGGGGTTGGGCGGCACCTTCCCCGGCCGAGGGGCGGGGTTCCTGGGGCCTTGGAAGATGCCGGGGCCCTCCACTGGTCCTGCCCACCTGATACCCCCCGCCCCTGAGGAGGGGCTGGGGCAGCCCAGAAGACCCAAGACATAGCAGAGGCCTGACACAGCGTGCTTTATTGCCAGGCTGTCACAGCCACTCACCAAGCTGGGACAGAATGCACAGAGAATAAATAATTTAACTTACAATAAATAAATTACCCTGCTGGCACCCTGCTACAAGCTTTGGGTTACCAGCCCTGGTGGCCTGTCCTGTAGCACTTTATGACCACGAGGAGCAAGGAGGCTCCCAAAGAAGCAGGAGAAACTGAAGTTCCCCCCAAAATAACGAGTCTATGCAAGCTGGGGTGCAGGAGCTGGGCTAGACCAAGCGTTTGGGTCTGTGGAGGTTTAGACTGCTGAGTTGGTTGCCATTAATGCAATGTGATGCTACTTCTTATTGTAGTTGTAAGGGCTACACTGCTGCTCCAACAATAGCAATATTTACAAAAAAAACCCAGCTTTATCTCATTTGATGACTGCTTCCTTTTCCCTTAGTGCTTCTGCCCACCTAGCCCCAGTAGGTGCTCTATATGCTTGCAAGCCATACGACCTGTGGCCAAGGAATTTAACAACCCTATCCCTCTTCTCCAAATCCTCTGAAATTCACTTTTCCAAATGACCATAATATGCTGTTAGAGGGATGGGGAGACCTCACAGAAGGGCACTTAGTAGAGCAGCGGAGCCAGACAGCACCATGCAGTACTTACTGCAATCTAGCTTATTTGCTGTATTTGCTTTGGCAAGTCTTGGACACATGGAGGAGAAAGCACAAAGCAGAGACAGGTTGCATGGCAATATCTAAGCGTCCCTTTTTTAGGAACTTCAGGAATTTCCTTACCTTTGATCATATGCAGATGCAGCTTTACTGGGAATAATAATAGAACACAAGTGCAGAGCTGCTGCTGGCGATTTAACCATTCTGTTATCTGGGCCAAAATCTGAGCAGAGCTACACAACAGATCACTGGCAAGCGGCCTGTACTAGCACTCCCGCGGCTTCAGCACCTGCTGAACTGTGCAAGTGGGAGGGAGCGCCCCGGTGAGAGCATACCCGGCTGGTTCCAAGCGGTGGCAGGCTGGCGGCTGCTGGCTTGTCTTGCCTGCCAGCAGGGGGAAGCATAACTGTAGCTGTAAATGGCTTCTGCAGAGGCACTATTTCTGCACGGATTTGGAGCTAAGAGAAAGGCAAGTTGTTCCTGGGAAGAGATGGGTGAACCCAGCACTGGGGATTAGCACAGCAACACACACTGCTGATGTAGACAGAACCCACTGTTAGAGCAGATGCTCTGGGAGGAGGTGCTGTTCCTCCAGTGGGTTCTGGAGAAGCCCAAGATGGGAATGGTCCCCACCCTCAAAACCTTCAATTTTCAGAGGAGTCTGTCTCTTCATTGGAGCCTTCACTCTCAGCATCCATTTTTCGACGATGGTGTAGAGGTTTCCAAGGTGAGTTAATCCTGGGTGAATTACGAGCTGGCATATTTGCTGTGTCTGCACTGGAGCTGGCAGGACCAGAGACAGAAAGCCCTGAAACCTGAGCTACCCTGAAAGAGAAAAGAAATATGCTAAGCAGCATGTTGCAGAAACTTCTACTGCAGCACTCTTGGAGTGAACTCTGTGAGAAAGACTTAAAACTAGCACAGGGATGGAAAGATGTTCATGGCATAGAGGGGGAATACATTGTACCTCCCAGACTCACTATGTGAATCTTCTATTTAAACATATCTTCTGGGCTGATCTTGTTCCTTCCAACACTCCTACTTTTCACCATCCAAACAAAATTTCCCTGTTCATTAGAGAATGCTGCTTCCTCTAGATCCCTCTTTGAGTCACACTCTTCCCCTCTGCTTTTGAAGACTTTTTGTAAGTATTTCGTTAACTGCATTGAGACACCACAAAGAAAGAAGCTCTTCCTGTTCAGGTTGCTCTTTTAGCTCCTCTATTGTTTTGTAGTAGAGCAGAGGAATAAGACAGTACTTTATTCTACTCTTCTTTAGCATGCTACCTTTAATCTGTTGCTTTACCTCCTAGTTTAGGCAATTCCACTTACAATTTCTCAATTTCCTGATCCATGGCAGGGTCCTGAAACAAGTCTCCTTTATCTGGCAGAGCCCCTGGGGGAAAAAAAAAACAAACAATGAAAGTATCAGCAGAGTTAGGCTATTGATTCTTCAAGAAAAATGTTCAAGCCATAGCAGCATCCAAAATCTGGCCTGCAAGACAGAAAACACTTTTTTCCTTATACCTCTTAGAGAAATGGCCGCAATGTTGAGGATCATAGACAGATAAAGAATGATGATCCATTTGCTGTGTCTTTCATACATGCTATAGCTGAGCTCAGACTAAACTGGAGGCAGCCTCAGTAGCCCACTGCCTACAGCCCTGAGGATTGGCAGTTTTCATTCACTGTACAAAATGAGAGTACTGACTGTCAGGGAGATACAGTCTATCAACTTTGGGCCTTTGTTCATTGCCCAGTGCAGTCACCAATACCAGATGTAACAGATGTGGTGTTAGTGCCACAGCCTGAAACATGCACTATACCACCCAAGATTATTTATGTTTTTGTGCCACCTGCCTTTCTTGTGGCCTCCTGGTCTCGGGGATCAAAACACTCCACAGATTTAAGGCTTTTGCTTTCCTTGCAACTCAGGAAGTCAGGCCTGACTCTTGCACATTGCCTACAGGAGTTAAATGTGGATGAACTGTGCTCTAGCATTACTTGAGGGTGTGAGCATGAAAGTCTGGGCCAGTGCTTGGGTACCCTCTCAGTGTAAGATCAACATGTTCGTGCTTCTTTTCACTTTAGAAACCCTACTCCAGACGAAGGACATGATATAGTTTAGGACTGGAACAGCTGATTGATAATCCTTGCTCTTCTCTGAAAACACTGGGACCTTAGCAGAGCCAGAAGGGAAGATGGGGCTCTTAGGAAAGCCCTCCTTCCTAATTCTTTAACAAACTCCACCTTGTATAGGGGTCATGGGAGAGTGTGATCAGCCAGCACAGAAATTACAGAGAACAGCACAGAGATTGCCTACCAGAGCCTGGAGCGTACCACTGCACACCAGGGCAAAAAAATCTATTTGATAATCTATACCCAGTACAGTGAGGAATGCTCTTTCTAAGGTTTTTCAGGAGACTTGGGTGCTACACTCAATACCTTTGGGAAGGGGCTTTGAATTCCTCGTGGGAACACAAATACGTTTGCTGGCTCTGATACCTTGCTCATGCAGGAGAGGCTGGAGAGCCACCTGTCCCACAGAGGCAAGCTGGCAGCAGTCATCAAAAATGTAGCAATGAGTGCCTGAAAACTAAAGTTTAGACCAGAACTAATTCCCCCATTTATTTGGGTTCTGGTCTACTCCTCGTGTAAATGAACTGCAAAACAGTGTCAGGAGATCCAAGGAAGTGTCTGCTTCTTTTTGTGCGCTCAATTAAAAGAATAAATGACTAAAGCTTATTTCTGTAGTTGCACAGTGAAGTCTTTAGGGCACAGGATTTACTTGGGAGAATTGATAAATGGCACTTGAAGAATTCACAAATCAACATTGACAGGAGATACACAGCAGATTCCAGTCTGCCTGGCACACTCAATGGAACTGTCCCAGCCTGAGCAAGCTGCTTTAATCTCTATCTCTGTTCCTCAAGAGGAGCTGCTGGCTTTGTGAGACCAAAACCTCCTCTGCCTGAAACTGCTCTTGCTGAAGGGTTGTGGGGAGCTTGTGATCCCGTACAGACCAAAGTCTATTGAAATCACCCTTCAGGAGAGATTAAAAGACACTAGGAAAAGAATCCTCCTTTCCTTGCCAGAAACGCTAGCACCTGTCAGACTTGTGGTTGCTGCCCCTCCTCTGAGAGAGGCCTCAGCAGGAGTCTGGCAGAGGGCCAGAGGACAGGCCTACATTAATGGAAACGAAAACCCACTCACTTTGTAGATGGCACAATGGAGGCTGTGGGCAGGATTTTTTATTTTCATCTGTTTTCTTTATGCTTGACTAGAAGTGGATTTCATAGGGCAAAGGAAAAAAAGATTTTGCTTGCTGCCATCCAGGCATCACCTTCCTCCCAGTGAATACACTGCTTTCTAAGCCTGTTTTCAGAGGGGATTGCAGGGGTGTATTCATGCACCTTTGATATATAATCTGTCCTGCCCCAGAGGAACATGAGCAGTTTAAATGGTTTGCTGTAAGAAGGGGTTCAGCCAGGGAAGACACTTTTACTGTAGTATGGCACACACCTGAGCAAAAGAAGCAGCCCTTAGGCAAGGTACACCTTTTCATTGAATTTTGTCTTTGCAATTAGGGACTGGCAGATACTCAGGCCCAGAAGAAGAGGAAGGGGACACTTACCCAAAGACAGACAGAGTCATCTACCCTTAATGGCCAGGTGATTTGTTGAATGAAGATGAGTGTTTGGGAACACCCCCACAC